GGCCCCTCCACTGCGTCGCGCACCTCCTCCACCGCCCCCCTCCTCCACCGGTCGCCCCCTCCCAAGGTGAGCTCGAGGCATTCTCTCTTTTTCTTTTGTCTTTTTAGAATTAGTTTAGGTTTAATTTAGTGTAGCGTTACTTTAGTTTAGGTTAATTTAGGGTTTTATCTGTTTTTTTAAGGTTTACATTTAAATTTAGTTTAGGTTAGGTTAAGAAGAAAGAAGAAGCAGAAGATGACCTTTAAGCACTGGGTGCCTATATATATTTTCCTTTTGGTGAGCACTGTCATACAGGTAGTTGTATTGAAGAATGCTTCGAAAAAAGGCAAATTTGACAATTTTGACCTCTGAATGAAATCAATTCATAGAATGAACTGGGTGTGAAACTATTTCACACCCCTGACCTTTTTGTGTAGCGCCCGCGACGCCGGCGCCACACCTTACGGTGCAACGCCTAGCTAGCGGGCGTTGCACGCCAGTCCATCGTGATAGCCCTAGGCCCCGCACCCAGCTGTGCAACGCCTCGGTGCTAGGCGCCACACAATGTGCAGCGCCTAGCCGTCGGGCACTGCACTGTGAGTCATGTCTAGGCACGCGGCGGCCCTCTTCTCCCCCACCCATCCGTTGCAGCAGTTCCAGAAAGAAAAGAAGCCGTGGCGGCGGCCTTATCCACTCCCTCTCTCAACCCCCTCTCCCAAATCCTTCAAATCCGACGATTTGGTCCGTGGGTTTCGTCACCAATCCATCCTAGAAGGTACTCTCCTCCGATCCCCTTCTTTCTATCCATAGAAAATATAGTATTATAATGTTTGGGAAACCTTTGTTTGATTTGATTAGATTAGAATCTTATATGTATTATAATGTTGCATGTATTAGAAATCTTGTTTGTTTGATTTCGGGAACCCTAGTTTAGTTTATTTTTCGGAAAAATATGGTTGGATACATAGGTTGACATGTTATTTTTATGGAAAATATATTTGTATGAAGTAGGCCTAGTTTAGTTTATTTGTGTTGAACTTATATTTGTTTTGACAAGAATGCTTTGGATACATATGCTTTGAATTTTGCATCTAGTAAGCGTAGTTAAGTTTATTTTTATTCGAAAGATAATTGTGTTGACAAGAAAGTTTTTTTTTAATTGTTAGAATGGTTTGGCTTCTCGATAATCAATCGGACAAACAACACCGGTCGTATGCTTGATTTCGTCCCAGTTCATTCTGTGAATTGATTTTGTCCATAGGTCAAAATTGTCAAATTTGCCGAAAAAAACACTCTGACGCGCATGCATAGTGAGAGCAGATCCATCCTCCCGTGCACATGCGCAGATGCTTTGGCAGAAAAGTACGTATTTTTTTCATGCACAGAGCACCGAACCAAAGGCAAGCAGTTGGTTGAATGCACAACTAGCAGTTGATTAGGGCATCTCCAGCCGCACCCCCAACAGGCCCCCCAGGCCACTTTTTCGGCGCCGGCGCCAAAAAAATGGCCCAGTCGCGCCCCCAGGACGCCGAAAATTGCCGGTTCGGACTTTTTTTCCGCCTGGCGGTCAAAGGCCGAACCCGGCGCGCTGGGAAGCCGTTGGGGGCTCCGGCGCTAGGGAAAAGCACGCCTGGCCCACACCGACAGGGGAAAAGTCAAGGTTTTCTTCCCCCGACTCGCCTCGCACCGCCCGCGCCCTCGGCCACCACTAGCTATATCCCGGCGACGGCCGCCGGCCTACTCCGCTAGATAGCCATTCCCTGCCGGAAATAGCAGCGCTTCGCCGCGGCAGCCCCTCCCGCAGCAGCTGGGCGTTTCCGGCCGCCGTTTCCGTCCGCGGAGGCATGGTTAAACGGCGGGTACACGTCCACCGAGCGCAAGGTGTTCGGCGTTTTGACTGTCTCGGCGATGGACTCGGATGAGGAGGAAGAGCTCGCCGCGCTGCTGGAGGAGGAAGCCGCGGCCAACGTCCAGGAAGAAGAGCATCTGATGGTGCTCGCCGCCCTCGCCCAGCTGCTGGCGAGCAATGAAAAGTCGCGTTGAGGTGGCTCGGCGCCGGGGCGGGTGAAAGCAAAGAACCGGCATCGTCTGCAAGGCTACTGCATGCTCTACTCCGACTACTTCGCCGATGCTCCACTTCATGGCGAGAGAACATTTCGGCGCCGTTATCGGATGAGCCGAAAGCTCTTCCTCAGGATTGTGAATTCCATCTGGGAGTTCGACAACTACTTCAAGTGCAAGATGGATTGCACTGGCGCTCTTGGATTCACCTCCATCCAGAAGTGCACGACAGCGATGAGGATGCTTGCATATGGAGCTCCCAGTGATTCACTCGACGACTATGCGTGCATGGCCGAGTCCACCAGCATAGAGTGTTTCTACAAGTTCTGTCGGGCAGTGGTGGCAGTGTTTGGGCCACAATACTTGAGACCACCCAATGCGGAAGACACTGCTCGGATCCTAGCCCAGAATGCAGCAAGAGGATTTCTGGGATGCTTGGAAGCATCGACTGCATGCATTGGAAATGGAAGAACTGCCCATTTGGTTGGCAGGGGATGTACAAAGGCGCCAAAGGCGGTTGCAGTGTGGTGCTTGAGGCGGTAGCCACACAGGACCTCTGGATTTGGCACTCCTTCTTTGGTATGCCAGGAACTCACAATGACATCAACGTGCTACAGTGCTCTCCTGTTTTTGCCAAGCTCGTTGAGGGCCATTCTCCTCCGGTGAACTTCTAGATCAATGGGCACCAATACAACAAGGGGTACTATCTAGCTGACGGCATCTATCCGAGATGGTCGACATTTGTGAAGACGATCTCAAACCTTGTGGCAGGAGGCAAGAACGCCTGGTTTGCGAAGCTTCAGGAGGCTTGCAGGAAGGATGTCGAGCGGGCATTTGGTGTGCTCCAATCTCGATTCGCTGTTGTTCGGTACCCCGCTCAGACCTAGTCGAAAGATCAAATGTGGGAGATCATGACTTGCTGTGTCATCTTGCACAACATGATCATCGAGAGCGAGCAAGAAGACCCAGTGTTTGACACTGAACCATACTACAGGCAGGGTCCTCTAGCCGAAGTTGATCACCAGCTACAGGCAACTTGAACTGCCTATCTCAGTATGCGTCAGGAGATCCGAGACCCACAGGTGCATCATCAACTGCAGAAAGATTTGATTGAGCACCTATGGAGGCTCAAGGGGGACGCCGCGTGATGAAATACGATTTTTTATTTGTTGAACTATATATTGAACTATTTGTTGTTGTAGTATTTTGTTGAAGTATTTGATTTTTCTGTGATGGAATATGTGATAAGGAATAATTGTGTTGATAATTGAACGCTGAGACACGGCGAAACCACACCGAATATGGGCCTATTCTCGCTCATATGAGCCGTTTATTCGCCGAAATTGGGCTGCAAAGTGGGCCAATTTCGGCGCCTGGGGGCGAGCTGGGGGCGACGACTGGGCGCAAAACCGCCCCCAGCGCCGAGTGTATCGCCGGCTCGCCCCCAGGGGGCGATTTGTATGCATCCTGGGGGGGCCAACGGCTGGAGATGCCCTTACGAATCTGTCTCCGTACGGATCATCGGCGGCACTTATCTATGTACGGAGAAAAAAAGAAATAAATGACATGAGTGGATGATATGCAGCCGTACAGCTAGCAGTGGACATTTTCTCCTGGATCGATCGCCCTGGTAGCTCGATCCAGTATATTATAGGTTAATCAGTAGCAGATATGAACTGCACCAGATATGTCCTCCGCAACCATAGTCCAAAGTTGTTGCAGGAAGATCGAAAGCAGGGGAAAAGGGTCGGTCCATACCTAACTTTGCCAAGCCTTTCTCAGGAAATTGAGACAAGAAAGGGTAGGCTTCGTACAATATTCCAGGATCACATGCACCATCTATGGCCCTTGGTCCGTGCATGATCCGACGTGTCATTTCACGATTCGCTGGGATGACGAGACCTGAGGCGGAGTGGGGTACAAGTACTAGCATAGTATACCCGTGCTTCTTTCCAAACGAAACCCAGGTGACCAACTCCTCATCTCTCCGCTAGTAAATATCTCCAGTTAGCCGGCCACGGTTGCTCTCTGCCATCTGAATCTCCGGTCGTACGTCATGGTCCGGGGAAAGACGGTGATCGAGAAGATCGAAAACACCACAAGCCGGCAGGTGACCTTCTCCAAGAGGAAGGGTGGGCTGTTCAAGAAAGCCAAGGAGCTGGGCGTGCTCTGTGATGCGCAGGTAGGGGTGCTCCTCTTCTCCAACACAGGACGCCTCTACGACTACTCCAACTCCAACTCCGGGTACGCTGCTGTTTATAGATCAGTCTTTCTGTCTGTCTCTCTATCTATCTATCTACATATCTATACAAACTTCCAATACTTTATGGGCTAATCAGCTAGCTAGATGTGTGTTTGTTTTAGTTCATATGTTCTATTGATCTATATATTGCCTCTTAGTTAATTTCGAACCTTTGCTACTGACGAGTGTGTGACCTATATGAGGCTGGATGTGTCTTCCTAGAAATACAAGATCCAAATACCCACTGTATTTCTCTCCTTTTTCTGAGGATGCTTGGTAATTTGAGCCAAAAATCTAGAACCGGGGAGCCAACTTTGCCTTAAGAGAACAGACATGCTAGATAGACTGATTTTGCAAACTCATCTCAAGCGATGTTGGCCCTGTCCTGATGCCGAGTACTTCCGGCAACGGCGATATGACCGACGACGAACCACGACGAAGCAATGCAAGCTAGCTTCGTCCGATCAATCCACCCAGTGCAATACAAAGCTAGCCTCCAACTAGCAAAGCAGGTGCGCCTGATTGATCTACCGCTGGCTGAAGCAAATTCCACACGCGCGTACAAAGCCTAATCTACTTGATCGATTCTCGCTGGACGTAATACACGCACGCACGCGAAACGCTGGGTTGCCAAAGGCTCGTATCGAGCCTTGAGTTTATTCCTTCAACTCACGGTATTGTTTCCAGGGGCTGGATACACGTATATATATTAGCTGCTAGCCTGCCAAGTACTAGTCCTACTAGGTATCTCTAATCCCTACACTAGTCGGAGACGTACACATACATGTATCCTTGCAGAACGTCGGGTTTAATCCCAACAATCACCCCCTAAACACGACGTCGTCACGTCACAGCACCGACGCCGATCCTTCTTCGCATCTTCAAGAACTTCTCTCGATCCAAAGTCTTGGTCACGATGTCCGCCAGCTGATCTTCGGTGCAAGTGTAGTTGACCTTCGTCTTACCTTCTTCCACGCAATCCTTTATGTAGTGATACACCGTATCAATGTGCTTACTCCTATCACGCCGCACTGGTTCTTCGCATAGAAAAGTTGTAGACTTTCCATCAACGTTGAGCACCACTCGTTTCGGACCTTGATCCATGAGATCACCGTGTAGCCTCTCTAGCCACACACTTTGGCACACCGCAGTGGTAGTTGCAATATACTCTATTGCATCAACTGCGGATACTTTGCTCTTCTTGCTCAGCTCAAGACGAGGTTCCATTGGAGCGACAATGCGATTGCAATCTTTCATGCCACGGCTTTCAAGTACCTTCCTTGCATATGCCTCCTGGCATAATGTGATCCCCTCCAGCTTTTGATGTACCTCTGTCCCGAGGTTGCAACTCAAAAGGCCTAGATCATCCATCTTGAAAAGCTCCTTCATCTGTAGCTTGAACTTTGCAATCGCCTCTTCATCTGCTCCAGTTATCAACAGATCGTCGACGTAGATGCCAACTAGTAGACGATCCCTGACTTCACCTCTCTTGTACATTGGATGCTCTAGTGGGGCTTTCTCAAATCCAAGAGAAATCAAAGTTTGATCAAGTTCGATGCTCCATGCCCGAGAGCCTTGCCGTAGCCCGTACAATACTTTGTGTAGTTTCAGTACCTTGTGTTCCTCTCCCTCTTTGATGAATCCCGGTGGCTGATTCACATACACATCTCCTTCTAACTCCCCATTCAAAAACACAGGTTTTACATCCATGCGATGTATCTTCCATGATTCCTGAACCGCGAGAGCGATGAGTAATTCCACCGATTTCATCTTTGCAACGGGAACGAACACTTCTTCGAAGTCCGCACCTTCCTCTTGCATGTACTCTTTGTCTACTAGCCTTGCTTTGTGGTTCACGGCCCCATCGGCATCTTTCTTGATCATAAATTCCCACTTGAGATCCATGACTTTTTCATTGTTGGGAAGATCCACAAGCACCCATGCATTATTGTCGTGGATCGACCTCAACTCTTCTTCCATAGCGTGACGCAAACACTTCTTCGTGTTCGCATCCTCAAAATCCGCCAGTTCCTTGGCGCTTAGACACCGTCGCCCACTCCTTTTCACCTTTTCCGGGTCAATCATCCGAAGAATTTTCTCCGGATACGGGTGCAACTCCGGTTGAAGCAATACAGGTGTAGGTGATGATGCCCTTCCCTCCTTCGTGGACACCAGTGTTACCTTGTCGTTCCTGCCTCCCAGCGTTGCAGTGGCCAAGTTTTGCAAAACTGCACTTGATAAGACCTCTGGTCTCCCTGGTAAATCAGCAGCCTGACCTGGGCCACCAAAGCCGTCCTCAACTGCGCATGGACTTTCAGGTAGAATTGTTGGGTTGCCCCTCACTTTTAGCATGCTGGAAAGGTCCGTTGGATAGTTTCTTTGTGATAGGCCAAGCCCACCACGTTCACCTCCTAGCCCTCCTTCTCCTCCTGTTCTACGTGAGCTGCAACCTGCTTCTTCAGGTACCGGTCCATGCCCTGCCACATCTCGTCGTGTTGGCTGACTGCTTTGAAGGCTCCCAAGATCACCTCCCTGCTGTCCCAGCGTGTGGGCCTCACCAAGCCGTGGCTGGCTCTGGCACTCCTGGCCGACCACCACATCGCCTGGTCGAGTGCACGCAGCACTCATTTCACCAGAGTGAGCCGCCTCACCATCCAGCATGTCTGTTTTGGTTGGCGACACGTCACATGTACGCCTTGCTTCTTCGTGGACTTCCGACGCCACGTAAGTCTTCGATTTGTCTGAACGCATCGCTCGGAGACTACTTCTCCATGGCCGAGCACAGGCGGCAATTGCTGCATCCGCTCCAGCGAAGTTAGCACTTATACCCGTAACATCGACGTAAGCTTCGGAATCACCCCCCATGTCCGTAGCGTCGACATGAATTTCCGAACCATGATCTTGACAGTGAACTTTTTCTTCACGGAGCACGACAATTTCTTTAGCCGACGCTTGAAGAACTGGATCCACCTTGTCCACGAGTTCGCACATCAACATCATGTCACTGTCGTCACCTTGCTGGGCCATGAGCGCCTTCTGCTTCGGTGCTTCCTCGCAGTCAGCCTTGAAGTGACCAAGGAGGCCACAGTTATAACACCTCACTTTTCTGATGTCAAACTTCCTCCTCGGTGGTGCAGGTGCAGCCTCATCATCTGAGTCGTCGTCCGAGTCGGCGAAGTTCTTTCTCGTCGAACGCTGCTTCCCCTTCTTCTTGTTACTGCTTATGGATCTGCCTCGCTTTTCCAGGGCGATCCACTGCGCCTTTGTGAGCATCACAAGCTCGTCGTTCCTCCCGTCCCCAAGACTGTACCGCATCCGCTCATCGTGAGCCTTATACCGTCCAACAAGATCGTCGATGGAGAGAGTCGCGAGATCGACGCACTGCTCGATCGCCGTGACAATTTGCAGGTAACGGGGAGGGGCCGCGCGCAAGAACCGCCGGACAACCGAGGCCTCCGTGAGGTTTTCTCCAAGCGCGCGAATCCGATTGACGAGAGTAGCCACCCGTGAAGCGAACGCATCCACGGACTCATCATCGCCCATGACCAAAGTCTCGTAGTTCCTTAGGAGAGTTTGGAGATTGGCTTGCTTGACACGGGTGTGTCCCTCGAACATGAGCTTCAGCGTATCCCACACCTCCTTCGCCGTTGCTTTGGCGATTAGGTGCTGGAGGACATCCATCGGCATCACCGAGTAAATTGCCGACGCCGCCTGCCGATCCTTCCGGTGCTCGGCTCCCTCCTTCTTGAACGCGTCCCCTCCGGGATCCACCGCGCCCCATAACTCGTTGGCGCGGAGACCACACTCCATGAGGGCCTTCCAGACCCCGAAATTCTCGCGATCAAACCGTGGGTACGACGAACTCGCCGGAGCAGCAATTACTTTAGCCGCACCGGAGTACTCCGCCAGCTGCTTGTTCCTCTTGTCGTCCATCATGATCCTCCGTTACTAGAAGATCAACCTTGCTCTGATACCAATTGTTGGCCCTGTCCCGATGCCGAGTACTTCCGGCAACGGCGATACGACCGACGACGAACGACGACGAAGCAATGCAAGCTAGCTTCGTCCGATCAATCCACCCAGCGCAATACAAAGCTAGCCTCCAACTAGCAAAGCAGGTGCGCCTGATTGATCTACCGCTGGCTGAAGCAAATTCCACACGCGCGTACAAAGCCTAATCTACTTGATCGATTCTGGCTGGACGTAATACACGCACGCACGCGAAACGCTGGGTTGCCAAAGGCTCGTATCGAGCCTTGAGTTTATTCCTTCAACTCACGGTATTGTTTCCAGGGGCTGGATACACGTATATATATTAGCTGCTAGCCTGCCTAGTACTAGTCCTACTAGGTATCTCTAATCCCTACACTAGTCGGAGACGTACACATACATGTATCCTTACAGAACGTCGGGTTTAATCCCAACAAGCGACAGTTAAATAGTAATCTATATTAATTTAGGTCTCCATCACCCAATGTTTTGAGCCAAATTTAATCCTTTCTTCATTCCACCCAAGAACCTTGGTTTTCAAGGACAGAATATGAAATTAAAAGACTTGATGCTTTTTTTGTATCTTGAATTCTTGATCAGTATTTTTCTCAATCTCAACTTTGTTACTACCTTACTGCTCCTAATTAGTTTTTTTGGCGATATTTTACTTTCCTACTTCGCAGAGCATAGCGAAGTCCACTCGTCTCCTTTCTCTATATTGACGATCCAGAGATGTCACCATAGTAAAAGGATGAGCTGGAATTTCGCTTGCCTCACTTATATGAGATATAAGCAGGTCTGGTGGTATTTCTTGAAATGTGTAACCTCAGTTAATTAAGCTTGTGGTTTCACAGTGTTATTTGCACTCAGAAGTTCTCATTCGTTGAGGAACCAAAACATCACATATTGAAGAAAACATTGTATTTTACGCACTTCGACTTCATAGTGTGCATGCGCCACTACGGAAATAATTAATGACACCATCTTATCTTCCTTTGAAGTATATTTTAAACCAGACATAAAAAAATACAACACATAATGATATTTTCTATTTCCGGCTCCAACTCTATAAATCTACATACTATTCACATGAGTCACATTATTTTCTTTGTCCAACTTATTTCTACTACTGACTTTGTGAAATACTTCTGTGGTTATTTTATGCTCTCACAAATTCTTAACCTCCAACCTTTCCTCCATTTTATCCCCAAATAATATTGACAAGTGCTTTTTTACGAGAGATTAACAAGTACTTTTGACTACCTTTTTATGTAGGGATCATTAGACAAACAAACTCAAGGCACTAGTTCACACATCTTTCCTTTTCTATTGTCTGTTCCAACTTTTAACACCCTCATGTAGGTTCTCTGTATTGAAATGTAAGATACGAATATGTAAATATGTTTAATAATATTTAGGTTGATAATGTGAAAACAACAAATATGATAATATCAAAATGTTACCCTTTCATTTTAGAAAAATAATATATGCACATACTATGCCAACACATTCATTGAAAAATGCACCCCATATCCATTGTATAACCATGGAAACTATGGCCGTAAAATCATGTCAGCATGCATTGGCACAAGTGTACCTCTCTTCAACAAAAACTTCACAAAGTGTGCATAATTATATCTTTCTCATTTGTAAGATAAGAGATTTTGCTTTTGTTTAATATTATAATATGTTATCTCTTGTTTACAGGATGAAATCACTACTTGAAAGATACCAACAGGTTAAGGAGGGTCAACAATTCATGAGTGCAAGCGCACAAGCTAAGGTATGACTTTTGATCAGTATTTCTCAATAAGATAGCTAGTCATGCGGTTTATGTCTACTTCAATGCTCATTGGGTCTGTCCTTCGTATACTTGTACTACCCCACCTTCATGCCATGCGGATACCATGCGTGGCATAGCTATCCAATTATGCCCCCCTAACTTTAGAAATATACCTTCTCATATGGCAACAAAGATGGAGATTAACATCAAGTTTCATGCCAGAATGAGCCCTCAACCACCTTATTCTTGATGTCTTTACTTGATGTGATTATCCATTGCCGGCACGTTGTCCTGGGCGCTGGTAGTAACGTGCTGCTGCCCAAAGTTGCTAGACCAATTTCACTCTACTATGTTATAACTTTGTTTCAAAATAACCAATAATTCAAAAAAAATCTATTGTTTTGGTGCACTCATATAATGCATAGTATTATTTTTTACCGCAAAGTGCACTATTAGCTAAGGAATTTACAATACCGTTAGAAATCAAACTTCATGGGTTGCAAATATGAATTAACCGGGAAAATCAAATTTTGTTTTTTCAAACTAGAAAATTGTAGATGTCAGGGCACATCGGAGTTAAGGGAGGCAGTGCTCTTATTACTAAAAGATCGTCTTCTAAGCCAAGCGCTAGTCGGGGTGGGGGTGGAGTGGGGAAGTACCTATATGGGCCCGATCTTGAGCAAAGCAATGGTACAGGCTTTCTTGTGAAAGTGGGATGTAAAACAAATTATACATAAAACCAATAACATATCATGTGTTGCTCTACAGACCACCGTCATTTGTTCAATGATATCTAAGGAGATAACATTTCCAACATCTTACACAAAGGACCATAATATGTTAATGATATCTAACGCACTCACTTGATCAATTAGTGAAAAATATATGCATATATAAAGATTGGTTCATGTTGCTTTTGCAATTCAATTGAATAGCTATTTCATTATTTCACCTATAATTTATCAAAACCCACGACAATATAGTTTGTCTCCGTTCGGTTGTTTTATTTTAAATTCTATAGTATAAATACATTATTCCAGGACATTGAGTATTTCTATATGTATGTGACTGTTCATTTATAGTTTTGGCAAGCAGAGGGAGAACGTTTGAGGCAGCAACTACATAACTTGCAAGAAAATAATAGGTATGCTAAGTAAATTTATATGAATGCTGTTCTAAAACTAATTAAGAATGAAATGGATACTGATTTTTCATGTGCAATAATTTGAAATATCATAAACTCAAATCCTTAATAGATGTAATATTCATACTCAAAAAACAATAATTACACATTTGCGCTAATTTGCTAAACCATTTCAGGCAATTGTTGGGACAACATTTATCTGGCTTAGGTTTGGAAGACTTAAGTGGTTTAGAGAAGCAACTAGAAACGAGCCTGCATAACATTCGACTAGCAAAGGTAATGCTTAATGTTACCATGATCGTACATCTTTGTAGTGGCACTAATCATATTGTTCTTTCCAGGACCAACTTACGATTGATGAAATTGAAGAGTTCAATAAGAAGGTCAATTTGTTATTTCACCATTGCAACACTACTACCACCATATCAGAGAGGGCGGCCCATTTTATTTCCAATTAGCCTAACCTTTTTTAACTGCAGGGAAACCTCGTACACCAAGAAAATGTTGAGCTGCACAAGGAACTAAATATCATTCATCAAGAGAATATATATTTGCAAAGCAAGGTGCGTAGGTATAAGAGAACCACCCATGCAAAATTAAAATAAAATAAGGGGAGTATAGAAGAGTACTCCTTATATAATACACAAACCTTGCATGTCTGTAAGTTGTCATGCATGTTCAATTCAATTTTTCAGCTAAATGGGCAGCTAGAAGCAAATGGGGCGATTACAAGTTCTTCTAGCCAGTGCAGCATTGCTGCTCGAGATGGTGCAAATCTAGTTCGTTTGGAACTCAGCAAACCACATCATGCGGAAAAGGATGAGGAACCAGAATCACCAACACTGGGGTATGGTGAAATTTGTGTTCTTTAATTTGTCTTTGCCTATTAAATTGTTAAGACAAAGTAAACATATGAGCTAACACAGAGGGCAACCTCTCCTATTCAATGCATGAAACAGTCTTTGACTACCAGCGGACTGATGGATGAGGCCAGAAGTTTCTACTAAAAGCTGAAAGGTCTGTCAGATGATTGACCGGAGTTTTGATGTGGCAATTCTATTCTCAATCAAATGCTAGTTGTTGTTTCCAGTACGTCTACCCATGAATTGTACATGTAAAATTTGATTGTGAGATTTGCAACTTGCTCCAGGTAATTTTCTTTTTCTTGTTCTCAAAATATGATAGTACTTGTGGCTAGCAAAGGAACGAGAACATCATTATTGAATCCCTAGACTCCATAAACATGCATTCATATCCATGTATACCAGTGGGTCGCACTTGTTATTTTCAAGGAACTAGCACACCGTGTCGGGTATACAATGTGCAAACCGGGTTGAGTTTGCTTGAGTACATTTTTCTTAAGAAAATTCCCAATTTCACCGCTAACAATTATAATATGACCAAGTGTACAAACACAAACCAATAAAAAGTTCTTCATCAACAAAAGTTCAATTGTTAGATTCCATTGGCTTGCAAAACCTACGATGATATTGAGATCATCATTATCATTGGAAAGAACTATAGAAAATCACCACAAAGACAGGTTGTCAATTTTTCATGATTGCCATGGACAAAGGTTCATGGACCATTATTACATATTTAGAGGACTAGACATCCCAAAAAGATGAAAAGGCTCATGGCAACGGCGACCCATGCAGGGGGCTGGTGGTGCGTCTAGGCGACTAGATGTGGTGGCTACATGGTGGTGGTGGCATTCCACGATGGCCGGTGAACTTCTAGAATTTGATCGACCAGCGGCGGCATGTGGGGTTGCGAGCGGCGGCACCTAGGCTGCTTGGCATGGCATGGTGTCTTGCCCCAGGATGCGCGAGGGTTGGGCGTGAGGCTGTGGCGGTGGGGTGTGCTATGGGAGACGGTGGTGGATCTGCCTGCCCGATTAGGTGTGGGCGGCCCTCTGTCCGGCTGTTCGTCAGCGGCGTGGGATGGACTTCTCTGGTGGCCTCGGTTGCTAGGGGTGGTTCGGCAGCGGTGTGGTGTAGGCGACGCATCTGGCTTGGGCGAGACGACATGATTGCGGGTCCCGGCTAGATCTATGGCTATGGGCGCTGCTCCGGCCTAGTTCGCTTCGTGGCGTGGACCCAGGAGTGGTGTCGTTGCCGTGCTCAGGCTCGTCAGGATCTTGGTGGTGGCACCAGTCAACGGTGCAGCCTCGCGGCTCGAGCGGTGGTGGCTGCTATTTGTCAGTGGGGCGCGGGCGGTGGTGGCATCCTCCCCTCTCCTAGGTCTGAGCCTACAAAGCGTGAGGTGCTCACGTGACCGAGGATGGTTGGGTCCTAGGGTTCGTTCTCGGGCGGGCTAGATCTGGGCTTGAGGCTGATCGGAGCTTCCGCTCTGGGTAGCTGTGGATGGGCATGGTCCAGGTGGCGGTTAATGGTGGCATTCCCCGTGCTCACCCGGTAGCGACGGGGTGCCGCGGCTGTTGTGTTTGGTGGCGGTGCGATCCGGGCCGTGGATGTCTTCGGCGTGCGGCATGGATCGGATTCGTGCTGGTGGACGGCGTCTTGCACATAGGTACGAGGGGTTGACTAGGTCTGCGTTGGTTTCCTTCGTGTTGTGCACTTTGTGTCTGCTACTTGCTCATGGAGCCGGTTCGAGTTAGGCTCTTCGGGTGTTGCCATGTCATCGGACGGATCGGCTGCGGTGATCATCGGCTTTGCGTCGTTCGAGGTGCTCGACGGCGGCCGTCGGCAGTCAGTAAGTTGCATACAGGCGGTCCACCAGGACCGAGAAGGGAGGCATTTGTGGGCGCCTCCTACTATGGAGGCGCTAACCGAGACTCGGTGACTGATGTTGGGCTAGGAACGAAATGTGGTCCCTTTCACTCCTACTAATGTGGCAGGGGGTCATGACGTGGATCACCGGTGGTGTCCGGGGCCATGGATGTCGGGGCCGTGGTCTCGGATGCTGAGCCTCGCGGTTCGCTTTCCGGCAGACTCCGTGGTGGTGGTCGTGACTCTACTTCTTGGTTGTGTGGGCAGCAAGGGGTGGAGTGGTGGGAGGCTCCGGTAGTGCCCAGATCTGGTGTGGATGGGCGGGCCCTCATGGAGATGTTGATCGGGACTCCCCTGGTGGCCGGCGAGTGTCCGAGCGAAATCTTCTCGCTATCTGGCGCTGGCATCGACGGCGCTTGTGGGTGTTGCTTGCTTCTTGGAGTCGTCGTTGTGGGTCTCGTTATGCCAAGGCTCCAGCTGAAAACCTCTGTCAGTTTTCTTGGACTCGGCAACAGCGACGCTTCACGCTGTCACCTTTTTTGGGGCGTTGTCGTGGAGCTCAAGAGTCTTCGGTCGGGTCTTGACGAGATGTTAGTTTGCTCTAGGTTATTCTTGTAGTTCTTGATCTACTTTGTAAGAGGGCATCCTCATCATTTGTATCATTCGACCGTATATTTTTTTATGTTACTTTATCTATAACGCGGGACGAAAATCTGTTTTGAGATATCTACCTGTGGATATTGAAACGCCAAAGGAACACGCACGTACACAGCGGCGGGATGGCATGAACACAACGCACGCACACGAAACTTGGGTGATGGCCACGGGGTGTGACGCTCCTGTTGAATACTTTATTGCTTCACGGTTGGTTGATTACAAGCGGTAGCGCTGCACTTATATAAACATATCTTTATCTACTAATAAATCAGGGATAGCTTCTGGCCGTCTCTCGTGGTTGTTTTGCGAAAAGGCCCCTCGATTTATAGGAAATCAACCCGCAGTCCCTGTTTTAGTGGCACCCTGAGAAAACATTTTACTTTTACAAAAATAACCCTGTAAACCCGCTCGGGCCCGAACCGAACCGCAGCGCCGCCCGCAGCTCCCTCCTGCCCTCGCTCCCCTCACGCCCGCAAGCCGCGTCGCCGGCGACCCACACCTCCGCCACGCCCCGCCGCCAGCGACCTTCAGCCGCTCCAACGCCTCACCCCTTTCCCTTCTCCTCCTTCCTCTTAGTCTGCTCTGACCTCTCTCCCTCTTTCTCGCCGAACATGGACCTCCAGGAGGGCCATGGCGCCACCGGCCCTCAATCTTGCCGGATCCGGCGGCCTCCACGCCAAATCCGCCATAAATGGATCCACCCCGGCCAGATCCGCCCGGATCCGACCGGGCCCCGCCATCGTCGCCACCGGAGCGCCGCCCCGCTCGACGTGCAGCGCCACCGCTGCCTGTCCTAGCCCACGTCTACATGAGGATGACGCTCGTCCCGCTCGCTCACATCACTCGCTCTTCTGCCGCTCCGTCACCGCCCACCCGTGGCACCACCTTGAGATCAGCCCCGATGCCACCACCGAGCTCCCCTGTGCTCGTTGGGCACCCGCGGTCCTAAATTTGGCTGGTTTAAATTAAGTTGGAAGAAAAGGAAGGGGAGACACGCAGGAGGAGCTCGCCGGCGGCAGCGCTTGCCCCGGGCGCGGGGGTGATCAGCCGATGCGGTGGTGGCCATGGGCGCCGGTGGCTGGAAGAGGTACAGAGGAGAAGGGGCGCAAGAGGGAGAGAGATGATAGGAAGGGGAGGGCTATCGGGCTTGTGAAGGTCGACGGCGGCGAAGTTGATGCCCGTGCCGTGGGGGAAGCGGATCTTGCCTAGGGAAGGGAGGGAGAGGAGTGGCGGTTGCACCCGGTGCGGCGGCGAGGGGAAGTAAGCGCGAGGTCAGAGGCGCGGGAGCATGGGAGGTCGCCCCCTGGGCAGGTTCGATCTTTGGCTCTGCAGCTGTTAATTTGATATAGCTCAAAATTGAAGTATCACTAATTGTTATATTTAGGTCTGCATGTTTGATCCAGTTTCTGCATTCTTGATCGCCATGTTTTTATTTGAAAAATCTTGAGCTGGAATTTGTTTGGTGCCATGTGTACTGGTAAACTGAAATATGTAGAGCCCTATACGGTACTGATGTTTATAGAAGCCTAGCATTGCTGGGGCATAGGAAGTTCTAGCTTCACTCAGTGACGATCCTTTCCAGCTTCGGGTTCCCGCTTCAATGTTGTGCCGCACTCAGAAAAACTTTGAGTTCTTTCTGGGACAAGTTGCTCTGTTTCTGCCTCCTGAATGCATAAATTTTCTTAGTCGTTAGATATTGCCACTCTAGATAATTTGGATGGAATATGAATTTCATGGTGTGATATCCTATCATCTTGCAGACAAGGCAAACACCAAACCATGCAATTCTTTTTCTACTCTGACATCCGTACCATGTACACACCAGCTAATAGGGGAATCAAATCGTGTTTAATTCCAACAATTACCCCCTAAACACGATGTAGTCATGTCACAGCTTGGACACAGATCATTCGTCGCATCTCCAAGAAGTTCTCTCGATTAAAAGCTTTGATTAGTATGTCCACTAGTTGATCATCGGTGCAAACGTGGTTGGCCTTCAACTTACCTTCTTCCACACAGTTCTTTTCATAGTGATACATTATATCAATGTGCTTGCTCCTTTCACGCCGCACTGGATCCTCGCGCAGAAAAGTTGTAAACCCGATGTCAATGTTAAGCACCAGTTGTTCCGGATCTCGATTCATGAGATCGCCATGTAACCTCCCTAGCCACACACATTGAAATGTCGCGGCGGCAACAGCAATATACTCCGCTTCATCTGAAATCGATGTCATAATTTTCTGTTCTTGTGATAGCGAACTTACTATGCTTTCATCGAGGAAATATGCCACACCCAAGGTATTTTTACTGTTGTCAACAACTACTGTCGTGTTGCTATCATTGTAGCCGAGAAGCTTCACCATCTCCTTCTTCTCCTCTGCCGCATAGAGACAACCGAAGTTTGTCGTCCCTTTGATATATCTAGTATATGCCTCATAGCTGTCCAATGTTCCGTAAT